TCCACCGACATAGCCATTATGCCAACTGCTAGTCCCTCTGATTGCTCTTACTAGTACTTCTAGTACTATGTTGAATAGAAGTGGTAAGAGTGGGCATTCTTGCTTTGTACCAACTCTTAGTGAAAATGTTTTCAGTTTTTCCCATTTAATGGAATGTTAGCTGTGAGTTTTTCATAAATGGCTTCTATTATGTGGAGGAACTTTCCTTCAGTAACTAAGGTGTCAAGAGTTTTTATCAAGATAGGATGGTATACTTAGTCTATTGCTTCAAAAAAAAATCTTTCTTTCTTCCTTTTTGTCTGTCTTTCTAGAGAAAAACAAAAAGATAATCACTCTTAACAGGGTCTCCTGTCATAACCCCCTGCTTCTAGGTTTCATTCGGCCACGATTGGAAGACACGTGTTTATCTAGTATGTACAAGTTAATTCAGGAACTAACTCCTTGATCTTTCATATGGCCCTTCAGCATCACAGAATTATAGAGTGTTGTGCTACCACCAGGTCACTGTAACTGAGCCCAGTTGCTTTTTTTCAAGTTAATGGAAAAGATCATGTGATTTCTATTCTCTTAATATGATATATCAAATTGATTGATTCACGTATGTTAAACTAGCCTTGCATGCCCGGATAAACTCCGTTGGGTAATGGTGTATAATCTTATTGTATTCAGTTTAGTAGTAGTTTATTTAGGGTTTTTATATCAATATTTATTTAAAAAATGATCTCTAATTTTCTTTTCTTGTAATATCTTCATCTAGCTTAGATATCAAAGTGATGCTTGCCTCATAGAGTTTGAAGTATTTCCTTTAGCTTTATTTTTTGAGAGCGTTTAAGAAGTATTGGTCATTTTGACTATTTGATTTAATTCAGTTGTGAAGGCATCTGGTTTGAGTTTTTCTTTGTTGGGTGTTTTATGGTAATTTGCAGTGTATCTGATTTAAAAGAAGGGATTAAAGGGACCAGCAGATGGCATAATGTTTAGTCACTGGACTGAAGTTTGAGTCCCAGACACAGTGGCTAAAAACTCACACCGAGTGCATGTGCATGTACGTGCATGCCCAAAATCCCAAGAGGAGAATGAAAGCGAAGGGGTTGTGGCATGGCCATCCCCCCTGGGAGGTGATTTCTCACTTTCTGTCTCTTAGTCTCTCTATGCCTCTGTCTGTCTCTCCAGCAAGTGCATACACCCTATAGGAAATCTCTCTCTTAAAAAAAAAATAGAAGAAGTAATTAAGTATATTTGTTCGGTTGTTCTTTTAAGGATAGGGATGTTAATTGTTTTGCTTTGTTTTATTTTCTTTCTTCATGTTAAAGTAAAATTGGGGAAAATGCAACTCAAATTTACTTAAAGCAACTTATTAAAGATTAAATGGAAAATGTTTGCACATCCTCTAAACTAATGATAACTTTTTTTGTAATGGAAATAAACACAGATCAACTAATTTACTTCCATTGACATTGGTGGAATTAAATTCTTAGCCTTAATCTCATCAATAAAATGAAGAATAAAGCCTTTTATGATTTTGTTAGGATACAAAATAATACAAATAAATAACACAAGCAAAGGGTCAAAGGATAGTTCTGTTTATTTCCATCACAAAGTAAAGAGTTTTACTTTGCTCTGTTGTGTTCTGATTTGGGGATTGTCTTTAAATATAATTTTTTCATATGACCTAACAGTTCATGGTAAAAAAAAGAAAAATACTTTCTTTTCTCCAGGGTAATCTGTACTTCAGTATAATTATTGTAAAAATTTCTTAATGCATTTTAGTTTTATTTATAATTTATTTAAATCCTTGTTCCTGGATTTGTTGCAAAATGAATAACAAGCTGAGCTCTAGAAGAACATTAAGAATATAAATCTATCAGTCACTGACAAAATTCTCTGACTAGTTTAGCTGGTTCCACATATTAACCACTCAGCATAATTAAAATAAAATCTTGATCTTCAGGCTAGAAGTAATAAACTCAGGGTATTTAAAATAAAACCCATGTCTTTGTTGTAGAAACCTTCTGGAATAATGCTTTACCTATTTATTAGTGTTTCAATGTGGTCACCAAGCAAAATGGCATGGTTATAATACCTATAATACATTACAGTAGTGTTGTGATGATGCATAAGATAAGTATCATCTTTAAAAGTCCATAATATATTTTAAAATCCATTCAAATAAACAATACAAGAAGTAAAGCCTTTGGCAGTTTGAAAAGAAATGATACTAGGATGGTTTTAATAATGAAGTACATAAGATAAGTGTTAGAAAAAAATATGAAATTTATGCTCAGATGTCCTAGGCTCAAGTCTTTGTTTGATTGCATATTGACCTCACTTTCTTAATGTCACTGATTCTCCAAGAATCCATCATCTATTTTATACGTGTGTGTTTTGTGTGTGTGTGTGTGTGTGTGTGTGTGTGTGTGTACATTCCAGCTTACAAGGTTGCTTTGAGAATTAAATTATGAAGGTATTTTGCATTTTTTAAAAAAATATATGAATAGAACTTGTCAAAATAAG